GGCTCTATAAGGCTTTGGTTAGGCCACGCTTAGAGTGTTGCGTTCAGTTCTGATCACCACGTTACAGGAAGGATGTGGAGGCTTTGGAGAGGGTGCAGAACAGGGTTACCAGAATAGTAGGAACTGCAGATGCTGGGGAATCTGTGATAACAAGGTGTAGAGCTGGATGAACACAGCAGGCCAAGCAGCATCAGAGGAGCAGAAAGGCTGACGTTTCGGGCCTCGACCCTTCTTCAGAAATCATTTTGAAAATTTCTGAAGACTGATCTAGGCCCAAAATGTCAGCCTTCCTGCTCCTCTGATGCTGCTTGGCCTGCTGTGTTCACCCAGCTCTATACCTTGTTATCTCAAGGTTACCAGAATGTTGCCTGGATTCGAGGCTATGAGCTGTAAGGAGAGGCTAGAAAAACTCAAGTCGTTTTCTCTGGAGCAGTGGAATCTGAGGGGAGACTTGATAGAAGTCTATAAAATTATGAGATGCAGAGATAGGATTGACATTCAGAGTCTTTTTCCCAGAGTTGAATTGCCTTATCCTCAGGGGCTTGCATTGAAGGCGAGAGGGGCAAAGTTCAAAGGAGATGTGAGGGGTAAGTTTTTCTTTTACACAGAGTGATAGGAGTCTGGAAAGTGCTACCGGGGTGGTGGTGGAGGCAGATACAATAGGGGCGTTTTAAGGGGCTTTTGGATAAGCGTATGAATATGTGAGGAATGGAGGGACATGAGCCAAGGGCAGGCAGGAGGGATGAGGTTAGTTTGGCGTCACAACATTGTGGGCTGAAGGACCTGTTCCTGTGCTATACTGTTCAATATTTAGTGTTCTAAAGCTTTTGTTTTTGTTTGTTCCAGTGTTAATGTCTCAGGATATGGTGTAGAGAAAAAAGACGTTTGCAGAAAGCAGTGGTTATGAAACATGTAAGTCCCATTGCATCAAAGCACAGCAAGGCTGCAGAGATTTTGGCTGGATCTTGGTGCTGAAGGAACATAGTAGGATTGAAGCCATTGAACTTTCACTGAATAAATTGAAAACATGAAGGAGAAACTAACTGCCAGGAATCTTGAAAGCAAGGACAGAAAAAGATGGGCACACAGCAGATAGTTTTGTGCAGGAAGAACAGACCGAATGATATTTCAGACTGGGTCCTTGCCCTGAACCAAAGCAAGAAAAGGGAATTGAACAAACAAGCTTCCATTTTTCTTGCACCTTTGATGACCTCTGAGGACCCTGAAGCATTTCACAGCCAAATGAAATACTTTCGAAGTGGAGTCACTGTAGTTTCAAGCGAGGGTATGGGCGGAGAGGTGCAGAAATCCCAGGGAATTTTCTTGAATACTGGCTTGACTGACTCACACAATGTAACTCAAACCCGATGCTGTGGATACATCATTTTCCAGGAAATGTTTTGAATCTGTTTATCGTTCCACAGAGTAGAGGTGAGGCAGTTTTTGTTTGTGTTGACTGAAGGGAATTGGTCCATTTCAAGATGTTCATCAGCACAGCTAGATTTGCAGTGCTGGAAGAAGTGAAACATGCATTCAACTCGATCTGTCAGAGACAAATCAATGGATACAGTTGAGGACAAGCACTTGAGAGTCGACAATGATTGATGAACATTGAGAATTGTATCTGCACTCTCAATTGCTTCTTAGAATTGCAATGCTGCCTGCTTTGTTACAGCAGCCAGTAGAGATGATCCCACTAGTGTTGTGCTTTGCAATTTGATTCCAAGAAGGCCATGTTAGTCATGGTATCTGACACAATAAGCCACATTGTTAATCTAAATGGACTTCAGTCAAGTTAATAGAAGTGTGCATTTCTCAAGAAGAAGATGGATATTCTATTTGCAGAATCTGCTGTTGCATACTTTGGGCATATCATTGAAAGACAATGTCTTTCTGCATCACCCAGAAAGGTGGATGGTTAAAATGAAGATTTCACACACATGGAATATCAGTGAGCCCACTTTTGTTTCCTCACGATATGCTATGAGAAAAAGTGCGGTTCAAATCTAACAAATTCTGGACTTCTATGCCACTAGGATGAGTGAGAAGAAATAATATAAAAATGATCCCATTTAAAGGCGAAGAACCAATTGTGTATATGCTCAAGTCTTTGAGGGTGGTTTGTAAGACAGTGTAATGCATGCTGGGCTTTATAAAGAGAAAGACTGAGGAATGCAATTGAGACAGAGTTGCTCTCGGAGACCACAACATGAAGTTTCATGGCATCGGATCGCCCATAGGCATGGAAACTTCCTGTTCATTGCCACCTACCACCCTGCCCCTTTCCTAACAACTCCATGACCCTCAGCTGGTGAATGTTGAATAGCATTTGGAGAATGCACTGAGGATGACAAGAGTGCAGAATGTACTCCGAGTGAGGACCATCAATGTCCATCAACAAGAATGACTTCATAGCACCACCATTGACTGAGCTGGTCGAGTCCTAAGAGACCACACCTCCTAGAATGGGTGTGAAGCAGATAGAGAGGGAAAAGTCCTCGGCAATTTACCTGTTGCAGGTATGTCTGCCCGTGATATTATCAGTCGAATTGTTATCGCCTCAGCTCCTGCAGAAGCTCAGCCTTCACATTGCAGATAGTCTCCATCATGTTGGCCCTGTCACTGTGCTAAATAAGGTACGTTTTGAGCAGATCTAACAACGTAAGACTGGGCAACCTTCAGGCATGTCAGCAGAATTGTCTTTGTCCACACTGTGTAACTTCATGGCCCAGTATATCCTCTACCGTTACTGTCAAGTTCGAAGTCCAACAGAAACTGCACAAGGGTCTGCCAGGAGCAGTAGCAGAAATGACTAAAAATGAGGTGCCAATCTAGTGAAGTTGCAACACAAGGCTGCTTGCATTCCAAGCAGTGTAAGCGATAGAGCAAAGTGATCTTGCGGCCAATGGATCACATACGGGTTTTGCCTGCGACATGTAGCCATGAATGGTCATGGACAAGTAGACAGCTAACAAACTGAGAACAATGCTCAAATATCCCACCCTCCAGTTGCAGAGCCCTGTACACTCGTAAAACAAACAAGCAAACAAAAACAGACTCTGGAAAACTTGCATCCATCTTCAGCCAGGACTACCAAGTGGATGATCCGTCATGACCTTTTCCTGAGGTCCCCACTATCACAAATGCCAGACTTCAACCAAGTTTATTCACTCCATTTGATATCGAAAAATGGCTGAAGGGGTAATGGATTCTGCCAAGTCTGTGAGCTCTGATAACATTCCAGCAATTGTTCTAAAGTCTGTGTTCGAGCACTAGCTGCTCTCGAACCCTGGCTGTTGCTGTACAACTATTACGCTCATAAATACCGACAGTATGGAAACTTGCCCAGATATGTCCTGGAAATGAAAAGCAGGACACGTCCAACCTGACCAATTACCATCCAGTTTACTGTCGATCGTCAGTAAAATGATGGATGGTGTGCAGTGCTTGACAGTGCTGTTAATTAGCACTGCTTTAAAAATAACCTCCCTGATGTTCTTTTTGTATTCTGACAGGCCCACTCAACTCTTCACCTTATAGCGTTGACCCACGAATGGATAAAAGGGAGAAACCGAAAACAGCAAGTGAGGTTGAGTGTCTTTGACATCAGCATCCGACTGAGTGTGACATCAAGAAGCCCTGGGGAAGCTGACTGCTGGTTGGTGTCATACCTAGCATGAAGGCACATGGATGCGGTTGCTGGAGGACAACCATCTCGGCTGCAGGATATCTCTGCAGGAGTTCCTCGGGGGAGAGTTTTCTCCGACCAACCATCTTCAGCTGCTTCATCAATGTCATTCACATGTCTGGCCTACGTGTGTCCCCAGACCCACAGCGACGTGGTTGACTCTTAACTGCCCTCTGGGCGATTAGGGATGGTCAATAAGTGCTGGCCTAGCCAGAGATGCTCACATTCTGTGAGTGAATTTTTAAACAAAAAAATCAAGATGTCTGAAAGGAAAACGACGGTAAATGATTGTCAAAAACTGAGAAGAAAAGGGGGAAGAGTTGAAGGAGCCGAATCATCATTTCTTGCTCCGTGTGTTTTTCATGTGTTTTGGAGATGTAGAATACAATAGGTTGAAGATGAAGCTGTTGGTCAAGAAACGAATCCAAATATTCTGGAGGAGAGAGGGTGGTGTATTTTGGAGATCCAGCCTGGGAAGGTTTAGCCAGATCTGGTAAAGAATAGTTAAGACAGTTGTGTTCCAGCTGAGTTCAATTCTGGGACTCCTTAGTTAGAGAAGTGAAAATTAGCACCAGATTCATCAAATGGTCAGATAAAGCTCTATTTAGAATCAAGGTGATCTAGGTGAGTTCAAAGGTCATGTGGAACATGGGAAGCCCAAGTTGGACCTTTGAAAATGCTGTTTTAATGAAGTTCGGAGAGAGGTTTTTGTTTCAGGAGCAGGCACAGTGAGGTTAGAAGTGACCAGCCATTGTGGATTGTAAGGGGTACAGGTTGCGGTGACAAATAGTAATTGAGAATATGTGCATTTAAGTGTGCGGAAGAGGCGGAAAGTATGAAAGTCTGTGAATATAAATAAGAGAGAGAGTATATGGAGGCAAATGTTTAAAAGGGATACAGAAGCCACTGGTTAAGGGACACAAATGATGATTGAAGAGACAGAAAATGGGGAGCCAATGATGTCTCTGCAAGACTTGATAAATGTACGTTAAATAAAAACATTTATTCTTTTCCCCTAATTTTCTCAATCATATTCTCAATCTCAATAATATATATGAATAATAGTTGCAGCTGCGATTTTAAGTTTAGGATAAAATCTGGTCCTTTATTGGGAGAAGCAAGTTTGTACAGTGCACAGTTGGGTACTTTGGTTTCTAAATATTGTTCTTCAACTTTCCAGAATACCTCAAGTATAAATGAATCTGTCTGTGGCTGTACTACTAATTACATTAATTACATACTTCATTACTCTCTAATATGGGATGTGCATATTTAAATTGTGCTGTAATCATATCTGATTCTTTTCATGCAGGCAATTCTCCATCTGATGAATCAGAGGAACGTGAGAAGGATCCGAAGTCTATAACCTTTCCCGCCTACGTTAGCAGCCTTCTCGATTCTGGCGATGAGCTTATGTCATCAGGGGTGAGGATGTACTGTGAAAACAGGGGTGTTTGCCCTACATCCTGTCATCTATGCCACCGAACAGGAGGCCAGAACAGGCAAGAAGAGCCTGTCTTACTGGAAGTCACCAAGGCTGCTCCCTTGTATGAACTGTTGAGTGACAACGAGACACAGAAAGTAAGTGTACGGGTCAGCACTCCACTCTCGGAACTGGTTGTGCAGTAGACTGTAAGGATGACTTGACTGTTCATAAAGTGAGAGTCATTTGTAGATATTTTCCTGATCAACCAGTTCTGAGATGTTATGACACGCTTCCCTCCCCGTCCAGGTGAGAAAGTCAATGTGAAGCTCACCTCTCTGCCACCCCATCCAGCAAACAGTTCAGTAGACTGCCTCTCACGACGTTAACATTCAGACATAAGTTCACTGGCACAGGGATGGGCCTCAGTCCAACACCAAGCTGTAAGTCTGACTCCATGAATCAGATAGCCAGCATTTCTCTGGTCCCAGCAGCAGTTTGGTGTCACGGAAGACATGTTGGTGGGGGTGGGAGGTTGGGTGTGATGCGAATTGGTAGGTCCAGAACAGGAGATGCTCAGTAAGCAGAATGCAAACCAAGGTGCACATGTAGGGAAGTAGAGATTGAGGGAACAGGGCCAGGTCTCAGCAGGGTGTCTCCTGCGAAGGACTAAGGGAACCTACAAAAGGACATTCCTCCCCTTTTCCCAACAGCTGGCCTGAGACGCAGTGGGCTTCAAACACGGCCTCCTACCACACTTGAGAAATTGCGACAAGGCCGGGAGAGACCCTTCAACAGTCAATTAAGGGCTTCATTTACCCGAGAATGTGTTGTCCACCCACACGTGGACCACGTATCAAATTGTAATTGGGTGGGAAAGGGTGGGACATGAAAAAGATTACCACGGCATCATACCTTTATTACCTGTCAGCCAACCTCGCCCTGAGGAAGCATGACATTCTGCCCTAATTATTGAGAGGGGGTGCTAAGTGTGACATCCAAGCAATTGAGACCAATTATTAGATGAAAACTGGGTAAGATTAAAAATTACAATGGCCTATCCTCCTTCAGGTCATGGTTAAACTTTAATACCAATGAAAAATGTTGCATAGGACCAGAATAGAAGCCAGGAAGTAAAGAGCAGGATGAGGGGTAGGAATCATGGGCCCTGATGCTTCTCCTATTTCTGGACCTCATGTACTCAGTGCCCTCAACCTTCCTATTTTTAATTCTCAACAGCCTCTGTCAAGCATCTTCCTGATTCCAGCTGCGTCCAGTATAACAGAATAATGCAGCACTCATTAGGTGATTGTAGTCATGATCCCTTTTGCAATTCAATTGATAAATTGTGTACTTAATCTCACACAGAAGCAGAATGACAAGATTCACTCAATAGTCTAAATAATTATTGACCTTGCATTAAACATAAAACCATAATGTACATTGAGGGTATTGCATTTCTAGCACAGTAGAGTACCAACAGGTTCAAGAACAGCTTCTTCCTCTCTTTTATCAGACTTATGAATGGACCTCTCATATATTAGAGTTCATCTTTCTCTGCACATTCTCTGTAGCTGTAACACTATATTCTGCATAGTGTTCTGTTACCCTGCTGTACTTATCTAAGGTATGATTTGTTTGAATAACGCACACCAGATTTCACTGTGTCTCTGTACATGTGACAATAATAAATCAAATCAAATCAAATCAAAAATTTAAGTCAGCATCAGACAACAGGCTTACCTTGACAACAAAAGTCTGTTTCAAACTAACTCACAAACACTTCTACACAAAAAAAACCATCACCGTAACACACCATCTGAAGAATATGAGATTGCAGCAAATACCTTTCTCAATGCATATGCATGAAGTTGGAGCATTTTAACAAGGCAATTATTGCAACTGAGGTCTCAATGCTAGCTTTAAAATAACAATTCTCATCGTGTTCGTTACAGTAACATCTACAACATTGTTCCTCCATATAATAGCTCCTAAACTGATACGCACTTAAGCTATAGATTCCACATTCAGTTTCAAGGAAGTCATTACCTTGGTGATTTCAAGTTTTGCTGGCTTCCAGTTAATTGAGCATTTCTTTCTTGATAGCTTAAAAAGTGTTCTCTCTCCTTTGCAGCCTCCTCCTTCTTCCCATTTTACAGCTTCCCCCTTTCTCTCCTGACCTCGCACCCTCCTCTTCTCTTTATCCTCTTGCAGCCTGCTCTATTTACTCCCTCTTCTGGACTCTTCCTTTTTTTTCTCCCCACTTGCAGTGTCTTTTCCTTCCTACCCCTCTCTTTGCATGCTCTACCTGTCCCACTTCTCCTTCCCTGACATCCAGATTTAATTCACTGCCCCTGATCTCTCCCCCCCCACCCCCCCAACCCCAGCCAAGTGAGTTCAGTGCACTGACCCAAGCCCACCAAGCACAAACCCAGTCCAACATGTGACTCAATTGCTAGCAGCAATCCTAGCTCAATGCTCACCTCAAACATTTCCACTCCAAGCTGTTCCTTCAGTCACAAAAGAGTTATCCCCTTTATTTACTCCTGATAGATTCCTTCTAACTGACAAACGCTTCTACGCCACAGAAGCCATCACCCTAATCGAACACTCTGTTGAATGATGAGGTCACAGCAGATACCTTGCAATTGCCTATACACTAAGCTGGAAGACTTTAACCAGGCAATTACTCCTGTATTTATTGCAACTCACAGTAGCACAAACAGGACTTAAATAATTTGTGATTGGAGGAATAGCCAGCTGCAGATTCTGTTTTGCTCAGGTACATGGGGGATGACCTTGCCCTGGTCTATTGCACCATGCTTCCCCTCCCCTCCCTGGGTAAAATTGCCAAGGAATAGGAACTGATCAGTTTGAGCATATGTTGCTTAAAAGTGGACTAGAACTTTGGCAGTGAGGGGCTGGTCATTCCTGTACTAATAAATGTGAGAGATTGCTATGATTATGTACAACTCAGATTCTAGAAGCCACAATATCGTCGTTTTGGCACAGGGCGAGTTCACACATTATCAATTATTAAGTGTGACCCAGTAGCAGAAGACCACAAGGTTGTCTTATAACCAGGGTTACCCATCCCATGAGCTTCATCTCCTATTGTTTGTTCAGGAAAAAGACTGCTGTGCTGAAGTGGTCCCTGAGCAGGATGGAGAGCATCCCGTTCCTCAAATGCTAATCTCTCTGTTGGATGTTTAATGCTTACCATGTTGGTAATGGATTAGCCTGTGACTGGCTCATTTGACCAGGCATTCTGAGAGTTCCCCTGCATTTCCATTCTGATAAAACAGGTAGCTACATGTTACAGGCTGTTAGTGATAGATATTCCTGTGTTCTCTTCACGAAGCGAGAGCTGAAGACTTTTGTTTTGGTTAAGATCAGCACCGAAATGAGATTAAACAGGGCATGTAGTTACAAACTGGCCGAAAGCACGAGTTCAGTGATTCATATTTCGTTCATTCTTCGGGGGAGGGAGGGACGAGTGGGGCAGAAACTTGGGGATTGCTCAGTGTTACAGTTGGTTTCCACGAAGAGTGAAGCTGAAATGTCTCCCTCGTTGTTGCTTTGTGGAACAGCACTGAGCATGAGGTTGAGCATTTCATGATCTCCTTTCACCTAGAGCAGCCATACTCCCCGCCCCAGTCCCCTCAGAACTGGGAATGCCCGATACAGATCAATGACCTTTCGATCTGATACTACCTGAACTTCCATTGCCCACCTTTCACGTTCATTTTGTCTGTTTGGCTTACGCATTTGCTTCTGATAATCAATGCTTGAAAATTATGTGAAGTATCATTGTGGAGAGCGCATTGCACTGTGGGCAAGCTGGAGATCATGAATCTCCAAATGGATTTCATCTTGTGATTTTTTTTTTAAGGCTATCTATGAAGCAATGTTGAGCCAGCTCTGGTGTTCAGGAGGCGGTGATGTTATCGATGACTGGTGTCGGTGTGATTCTACAACATTCAGCGTTGACGGCCTACCAAACTGCGCGCCCCTGCCTCAGCCAGTGTAAGTTTCTCTCCTTCAGTATCCATTACACCAGACTGTGACATGTTCGGGTAACATTCAGTGTGCAAGTTATCCTTCACCCTGAATGCTAGGGTGAAACCTTGATCATGTCTCGTGACAGTTCAACCACAAAACACTGATGCATTGTCATGCTAGGATCTTGTGATGCTCTCTACTTAAACAAGTTGCGGAAGATCACTCTAGAAACATTTTTTTTAAAAATATTAGTTTAAAGGATGAATATTTTGAGTGAAATATTAAAGACAACTTGTAATGAAGCAAGTTGCATATTTTGTATGGAGATGTGAGGTGCTATCCCAATAATTCATGATTTAGAATGCACTCCGAACCTCCTGCAGCAAAAGTGTCCTGTTAAAAAAAAAAATAATGTGTTTTACATTCGTCCATTTTTTTTCCCCTGCAGTCTTGGTCCAGGCTGTCAGATCTGATAGTTTATTTGTATTCAAACAGTGTCTGCATAGTTTCTTGGAGGTTCGTAAAGTTCTGCTGGTTTAAAATCACGAGTGCGCTGGTGATTTAAACTAATGTAAAGATGGTTACTGGTGTTTGGAGATTTGCTAGTTTGGGGCGTCAGCAGACAGGCACAGTCTATTCTTGATCGTAACCTGAGCGTCAGTACCTAAAGGAACTCCTGGGCCATATGTGAGTGGAGATGGCATCAACTGAAGTGTAAGAGAGAGGAAAGCGCTGACCGCTACTGAATGAGAAAGAATGAATCATTCGCTAGCAGAGTCGCATGAATCAAATGCAGAGAGCATAAGAAGTGCAACAGAACAGTGTGAAAAGTAGGAGGCAGGAAGGGTGATGGAGAACATGGGAGAAGGATAAGGGGGAAAGCAACGACAAGCTGCAATTAAAAAGTGCCTTTGACAGCAAACAAAAATTCACGAGGTGCTTCATTGACGGGAACGTGGCTAACCAACACTGATCAATAAATAGGATTCGGGACGTCTTAGTAGCTAAGATTCCTAAAGGAGCTGCAAAGTGGAAGAATTTAGAGATAAAATTCTAGAAGACAGGATCTTAGGAGGCGAAGACTTTGCTGCCAAGGGTGAGGTGAAGATAAAGGGGAGAGTTGCACCATTGCAAGCATACATTCAATTTACAGTTGTTCAATATTTGTTTGGTCATTAAAGTCCAGTGCAGTGTTGTTTGGCTGCCTTACAAACGCAAGTAAGATCCACGCGGAATAAAAGTCCAATAAAGTAAGCTGGTAAGGTTCTTTCCCCAGGCATGCTGTCTGAATTTATCCATATCAGTGGGAAAATGCAAACACTTAACTCTGGGACACTAGGAGTTTAGACCTACCTGTGGCCAAGATAAAGACACCAAATGACAACAAGAACTTAACCAAAAGTTTATTTTTAAGTTTAAAAATGGAAGGTAAATAATCAAGAGAATAGAACAGCGAGTGAAGGGACCAGGCGGACTGAGTGGTTGAGCGTGGGATGGAGTGAGGGACACCAGTGAGAGAGAAGGGATAATGTAAATCTCGACGTGAGGAGTAGTTTCACCCCTGAGGACCTGCATGAAGCAATGGTAGAAGCTGAAAGCATGCAGGAATGAACACATGGAAACAGCCAGGACGGTGAAGGACCCAGCCAGCCGGACCAACGTCACAGAGCACAGGGTGTAGGAGGACGGGTGGCAGAGTGCCTTCTGTGTGGCCAAACACGGAGGAAAATCAAAGGGGCACGGATCTCTGAAACTGTTTCAAGAAATGAAGAGCTGTGAGTTTTCCAGACTGTTTGTGGTGAGGGGTGGGGTGGTGGTTGGGGTTGGGGGGTGGTGGGGCTGTGGTGGAATGGGGGGGATTGATGTGAGGAGAGAAGAAGAAAGAGAGAGAGAAACAGGTGACTTGAGGGAGAGATCAATCTGTATAAGCCTGGATGAAGCATTCACTTTCCGAAGAGATATTTGGACCTTGTCCCATATTGTTGGACACCAGTGATTGTCAATGTACCTGAGTTTGCTTGTCAAAGTGGGTTAGCCTAGGGATAACAGGAGTCCTGTTATCTTGATTCAACCAGTCACAGCAGGAGAATTGAGTGCTATTTCTAAACTATCTGTAATTAGTTATTGGCTTTCACTTGTGTTTCATTTGTACCCCGCCAGTGGGTCTAACAGCAACAAAAGATGGGTTTAGATGGGATTCACAACAGAGTAACAGGCCGTTCAGCCCAATGAGTTTGTTCCAGTTTAAGCTCCATATAAACCTCCTCCCATTCTCTTCATCCTGCTCTATACCAAAACCTTTCATTTCTTTTTTCTCCCTGGTGTGATCATCTCGCTTCACCTTAGCAGCATCTCCAGTGTCTGCCTCAATTACTCAGTGTGGTATAAACTTCCATTTCTCATCACTCTATCCCCTCAATTCCCTATTGAACATGTTAGTGACTATCAGATCACTCTGTCTAGTTTTGGGAGTGTTCCACAAGTGGAAGCATCTTTTTTCTTTATTTATGTCAACCCTGTTCATGTCTTTCGAAACCTGAATCAGGTCTCCCCTCAGCCTGTGTTTTTCTGGAACAAAGAGCCCTGGCCGTATCTGCGACAAATCACTATGTTGTGACAATGATCCTTTGTTATGAGGTGGGGAAGGGACAATTTGGCGAGTTTTCCAAAATCCGGTGACACTGGCTAGATCTATACCTATGGATGTCGACTAAGGGCAACGTACTGCTGTCGTGGTCCCTGTAATTGAGTAGCCTGTCTGGCAAGCTCTCTCTCACACATTATTACCAGCTGGATGAGATGTATCAATGGATTGGGCGGTGGGGGTGGGGAGGAGGTTTATTATGAGGGACAAAGGGCAGCACAGTGGCTCAGTGGTTAGCACTACTGCCTCACAGGGCTGCAGACCCAGGTTTGATTCCACCCTCGAGTGACTGTCTGTGTGGAATTTGCACGTTCTCCCCGTGTCTGTGTGAGTTTCCTCCAGGTGCCCCGGTTTCCTCCCACAGTCCAAAGATATGCAGGTTAGGGCGGATTGGCCATGCTAAATCGTTCCATAGTATCCAGGGAGGTGCAGGCTGGGTGGGCTAACCATGGGAAATGCAGGGTTACAGGGATAGGCTAGGAGGGTGGGTCCGGGTGGGATGCTGTTTGGAGGGTTCGTGCGGACTCAATGGGCTGAATGGCCTGCTTCCACGCTGTAGGGATTCTAAATAATTCAAAATAAATTATTTAACAGGATCATTTTTTTTAATAAAAAGGAGCAGTGATTGCATTTAACAATAAATCAGATTTGAGTGAATATGAACATCATCAGAAATGCACCTCATTACAGAGACAGGCAGCATCTGTCACTCGAGCAGTTGGACGGTAGGAAGCACGCTTGAGGACTCCAAATGTTCCCCAAAGATCAAGAGTCAGATTTATCTGACACCGTACACTTATGTTTTTAATTTATCTCAATGGGATGGGGAAGGACCCACTTTTCAATAATGCATGGTATTTTACAGAAGTGATCTCCGGGGCATTGCGTTTTAATAATTTATATACTTGCCAACTGCTTGATTGCATTAACCACCCAAAGTGCTGGGAGTAGATCCGTAATGGCTGATTCCTGATTTATAGACTGGGGCAAATTGACAGTAATTAAAATGAAAGCTTTGCCACAAAGTCATTTTAATCCACTAATATGAGTTCAGTGCAATCTTTGAAGCACTTAATTTTTCTTTGTTAAAATAATGATAATAGCTCAAAGAAAGTCTATGCTTTGAAGAGCATAGATGAAAAGACCATTTTGTTCATTGAGTAATAAAGGCCAAGTATCTAAGGTTAATGGATGTCACCTTGAAACTAAATTATGGGTAATTCCACTATGAGCAGGATTTATACTTGTTTTTGTTTTTAGTGCTACTTCTTTTACTTCTTTTGTGGGATATGGATCAAGGGGTCACTGCTTAAAAAAGGGGTCATTCGTTTAAAACGGATGAGGTTTTTTTTCCCCTCAGAGTGTTTGGAATTCTCTTTATTTCCAGAAGAGGTGGTGGAAGCAGAGTTTTTAAATAGTTTTTCAAGGCAGAGGTGGATAGATTCTTGGTAAGCCATGGGGTGAAACATTATTGGATTAGGAAGGAATGTGGAGTTTAGGTTACAGTCAGATCAACCAGGATCTTCCTAAATTATGGAGCAAACTGAGGTGGCTGAATGGCGTTTCTGCTCCAAGCTGCATGTTCTTATTTTGATATAGCATTGTCACTTGCAAGGCCACTAATCTCCTGTCACTAATGCCCTCGGACTGAGTGGCTTGCTATGTCCTTTCAGAGGGCAGTGAAAAATCAACCACATTTGAGAGGGTCTGGAGTCACTTGTAGGCCAGACCATGTAAGGATGACAGATCTCCTTCCCTAAAGGATATTAATGAACCAGGTGGGTTTTGACAATAATTGGTGAGAGTTACATGGTTACCACTGTTGAAACCAGCCTTCCATTCCAGATTTTATTAATTGGGTTTAAAATCTACCAGCGGCCATGCCCTGTCGGTCTGTAGTCTCACTGTTTGCTTGTTTTCCTGTCAACTCCAGAGGAAGAGAGTTTGTACAAGTGCAGGGATCCTGACATCATCCCTGGAAAGCAGTTGTGCTGTGAATTTTAGCTGAATCCTACCTGTCCTGTCTATGGCTTGACTATCTCTTCCGTCAGGGCCTGAAATTCTGCACAGTACTCCCACCTAACTTTGACCTTGAAGTAGTTTATTTGATCTTTATATTCTGCAATCTTAATGGTGAAATCCTCAATGATTTGACCTTTCTTTTTAACGGCTTTGTCCACCTACATTCACATTTTCTCAAAACGCAACTCATTTCCGTTTGTATAAAATAGCATCTGTCACCTGTTTGCCTATTCAATCCCATTCATGCTGTATGGGAAACTTTGACAGTGTTCCATAGTGATTGGCCAACTCTCTATTTTTGTGGTATCAGTGCATTTTGATACAAAACTCTGTGTCTGGGCCAAATCATGAGAGCAAT